AAGAGGTATAGAAGAAGAAAAACACTACAGTAAAAGACAAACTGAAAAGGGGATGGGGAAAAAGAAAAATCACAATTTTTTCCAAGTATGGAGAGAGACAAGACTATCTGCAAGAAAACACAGATTTTCCACATGGACACCAATCTTTTTGTTGAACTTTCTGATATAATCTGGTAGTCTAAATTTGGAGATACAGCTAGAAGAAAATACTGTTTCTGCGTTTTTTCCTGAGATTCCCTCTTCATAGATCCTTGACCAACTGCTGAATAAAACACTGTCCTTCACAAACACACAAGTTAGGGCCACTGAACTGTTTTAGAGAACTACCTTGTGCAGTTCCCCACAGCAGTGACTATGAAACAGTAAAAATATTACAGATACATAAAAATGCAGTACCTTGACTGAATCTGCTGCAACCTCAGGTAGTACACTGCAGATCCTGCTCAGGACACTCCTCATTTCTCTGGTTTCCAAATGCTCTTGACAGTCATTCCTCTTCTTCAGATTTTCACTTCCATGCTAATTAATGTTCTGTATTGCATTTTCACATAAATTTCACACAAAAAGGCTGGCCTCTAGGTTTTGCTAGGCAGTTTGGATGGTCTGATGCTGAGTCAGGATGCTACTGGTGTGCCCACTGAGTGGAGGAAGACAAAGAGCCCATTCTGGATCCTCTGAGCAAGACCTCTGTCAAGGATGTGGGAAAAGGCAACAGGCATTCCAGAAGTGCAGAGAAGAGCTCTCCACCGTGGTTTTTTGCCTGCCTTGAGGTAGCATGTGCAGGACACCATGATGCTCAGCACTTTATAAATGTATGAAAATGTTCAACAGAGATATAAGACTATGCAGTGGTGATGACAACCATCACTAGGGGAGAGATGCCTTCAGTGAAACATGAAATAAATGCCATAACATACACAGAGAACGTCATTCCATTTACATCAGCCCAAATGAGAAAGTAACAGGAATAGATTTTACAAACTGCTATCAAATTTCCTAGAATGACTGACATACAAAATGAGCTAACTGGTCCTGGAAAGCCACTGCCTGCAAAACACAGATGTTAGGGATCACCACACATGCTCAACCACTGTCATGCTTCAGAAACAATGCTAGTTAGTACAAGGTGGATTTACTCACTTCCTTCTAAAAGGAAAACAACACTGAAATGTAAAATTGCTTCTAGACCCTTACCTCTGTGAAGCAACATGTCTTCACTAATTATTTTCATGTAGCATTGAATTAATTAAGATCAAGTATTTCTTCAGTTGCATTTCTCAGTTCTGGCTAGAACTTCAGAATCAACCAAAGCAGGCTGATGTTTTTCTATAGTATAGAAACCAGTCAAGCCTACAAAACCAGTGGTCAATCACACCTGATTTTTATATATGCTATGCAAGTATAATCTCACCTGTCATGGTGTCTTTCCTAGAAGTATGTTCTCCCTTATTTCCATGGTAAGTGGCGTTTGTTCCAGTTGATTCATAGTCTGTTTTTCTTTCCTTTAGGCTGATCATTTCCCGAGGTGAGGCTGGGGCACTTGCTAGATCATGAAAATGGATTTATTTTTTCTCACTACATATGACTGAATGTAGTGTTTAACTCTACAGAGTAAACTTTTTAGTTAAGTTTATATTTGTTAGCATACCAACATTGAGCTGTTTGAAGAAACACTACCCCATTATGGAAGAAAAGATGTACAATTGTATTCATGGGACGATAAACCCCAAACATAATTTTCTCTCTGAACTTTTTATTTTTTTCACTTATGCCCAACATCTAGGATGATTGTTAAGAAAAAACATACAATAATTATTATATTTTTTTCCTCTTTATTTTTTAAATTTAATTTGTCAAAACTTTCTGGTATAAGCACTTTAGTATTTTTTTGTTGTCCTCAAAATGCTTCATTTATTTCTGCTGGAAAGAGCATTAAGTTTCAACTGGGTGGAAAAACCTTTCTCAGATTATTTTCTCCCTCCTTGGTTGAAAATTAACATACCCATTATATGACTCTAATGGGGATGGGAAGAAAACAAAATGAAAAAGCATACAGTAAAGACTGCCTAACACTTAAATCTAACTCAAATAAATTTATTTGTCTTTAAATACCTGTGTATGAACAACTGCCATAAAAACAACAACTGCTACTTGAAGGTATAATTAAAATGAAGTCCTTCATGATACTTTGGTATGGCTAAAAGAAGGAAAGTATGAGGTGATTAGGAGAACTGGTTTTGTACTTGATTCTCAAGTGCTGAAAAAATGTGATCACTGACAGTAATCGTAAGGATTACATCACTTAAGCTTGTGATGCTTAGGAAAAGGCGAAAAGCAGAGCTAAAAATAATGGCTTTCAAGTAAACTGACTTCCAGATATTTAGGTGTTGGTAGATAGAATGCACTTTCCCTGATGTGGAGGGCAGTGGAAGGAGCACAAGGTGAGTGGCAGAGCACCTCAGAGCCTTGTCAAGGCACAGTGGCGTAAAAATATCTAACATGCGGATGCTTACTTCCACTCTCTCTCCTGCCTCCATCCAGATATTTGATATGTCAAAAGAACCTCAAAAACAAAAACTATGTCCTTGCTTTAAAAAAAGGAAAAAAAAAATAAATTAGGACAAGCTCGTTTGTGAAGCCTGATCATGAGTTCTGTCTTTCAGCATCTCTGAACTGTTATGTATTTTTAGTTAAGGAATAGGGAATTTCTTGTACCTAATGAAGGGGTAAGGAAGCACAAGTGATGTTGAATTCTGCTTAGATTGGTTCTGCTGGCCTTGGCCTCCGAATTTACAGAGCAAATATGGGACAGATGGTTTTTCTTATGAAGCCATTAAAACTGGGGATTGCTTTCAAATTGCTTGTCAACAGTGATGTAATTCTAAAGCTCATAATCCAGCAGATATAAAGAAACATTACATTAAATTAACAAATCAGCTAATGACAACAGAAGTCTAAGAGGGACCAAAACAGAAAGCAAACTTGCTAAGGCAGGGATGCATTTTGTTTTCCATACTCTTGTAATGCTTTCAAGCACTCTGGTGTTTTAAACAAAATTGACTGATACAGGCAAAATAATCTCTTTCTGTTCCCTGTGGGATTTATCATTCTCCTCCCATGTGAGAACAAGTTTTCTGGCAAGTGTTAAAATCCAGAAGTGCCCTCTTTCAGAGTTTTTACTGGAAGCAGACATAAAATCATTGGTTGACATTAGACTGAAAAGTGATAACAAGTTTTTCTGCTCTTATTCTTAAAGGACACAGAAAAGAAGACAGACCTATTTACGCTAGTTGAAGTGTCTTATCACCATGTCCTAGGGATGAAAGGGACACTGGGAGTTTATTTACTTAAACTGTTTAGCCCAAGGTAGGAGCCAGTATATCAAAATAATTCTTGACAGATTTTCATCTAAAACTAAAGATCTCTAATGACAGAGACCACATAACTGCTCCAAGCAGTCTGTTCCAGTGCTTTGTTTCCCTACTGCTAGGAAATGTTCCCTGATGTCTAGCCTGACTCCTTGCTGCTCATTATTTCCATTTGTCTGCTTTGAAAGTAAAGAAAGTTCATGCTCTACCTCTTCACAGCTGGCTGCTATTTCCTTGAATATTTGGTGCCCACCTCTTCCCACTGCCCACATCTCGTTTGAATTAAACAGTTACAGTCCATTCACTGGGTTCTCATATCCCAATTTCTCCATCTCCTGACCCATGTGTGCAACTGACAAAATTTCCTGAATCATTTCTAAAGAACTTTTGTCTAGCCAGAAATTCTCCTTATAATTTTTTTGTAAAGGATTATATATTTTTTCTTCCTTCAGACAGTATTTCAAATTTCTCAGGATCACTGTGAATTCCAATAATGCCCTTCAAGGCACATGAGATTTTCCCAGATTTATGTCACCTGCAAAGGTAATGGGCATCCTTTGTGTATTATCTGGGTCATAAATGAAACCAGTGAGGAGTACTGGGCCCAAGACAAACCTCCAAGAAAAGGATGCTTCCATTCTGGCAGTAAGCAATACCCGTTCTTAGCAAATGGTTCTCAGTCTGTTTTGTATTTACCATATATGACATTTTCTGGACTACTTGCTAGCTTGTTTTAGCTTGCCTATAAAAATCTTGTGTGAAATAGTCTTACTGATTACAGTAGATTTCATTTCCTGACTATGCCTTCCACAAAGTGCTTTAACTATGTTGTAGAAGAAATTGAGATGGATTTCATTAGAACAAATAGTATCAGACCAATGTTTGCATTTAATATGAATACTACTGGACAGACACCAACTTTTACTACTCTGTAGTAACAGATACTCCTAGAGTTAAGCAGTATCTTATGTTCCTACTATCTTTGAGGTGGTCAGATTGTGATTATTTGTTCCAGCAATTTTCTAGAATGAAGTTGAACTGACTGATCAGTAATTATATTGGAACTTCTTCCTTCAGCAACAGCCACTACATGTATCTTTTTCCAATCCTACGATAACTGATGATGGCAGTAAAATTTCATCCAAAATTTCTTTAATTATATTCTTGAAGTAATGCAGTAACAGAAGTGAAAAGACAGTTCTGGCAAGAGACAGAGTGAAGATCTCAGGGCCAGACATTTCAAGAGCCTTGCACTTACAGTCAAAATGAAATTTTGGAGAAGAAAAAAGGAACAAGAGCCCCTTACAGACTTATGTAATGATAGATTTTGAAACCTGAATAGCAGCTCTCACTGTATTTCTGGTTATACTTTCAAATTTCCTCAGTGATTGTTCTGTAGGATTAAGATGTAGCTTCTAGGTAATCAACAAAACAATTTTCTTAAAAAAACTCAACTATGACACAATGTTGATGGCAATAATAAATGTGGCCAATTTTAAACCTAAACTCTTGGTATACCTACGGAATGACAGCATTAGATTGAACAATTAGCAAAAATCACATTGAGTGGCTGACTGCTTTAGTCTGGTTATCTAAGATGATTTTTCCCTGGGAATGGTTTCATCTAACCAAGGTGTGTTCAACCTTAGAATAAATAGAGGAGGAAGTGCCCAGATTTTTTAATATAAAAATTAATTAACACTGCAGCATAAGATGAGATATTACACGAATTCAATGCATAGATCGTACTGAATTAATGATAGCTGGTGTAAAAATTGTGTCAATGTCACATGAAGGCCTGTAGTGAATCTTTTGTGAAACTTGCACATACACATGTATACACATATAATGAGAATAAAAGCTGACCAAAAATATTGTAGAACCTTCAGCTTTTGCTAAGTGTGCAGTGTGATCATGAAAAACACTGGTTTTCATGACTAGCAAAGTGAGTAATGCAATTTCCTCACACTACAAACAGACAACACTGCCCTGAGATGTACTCAGGTAATCCCAATCAGGAAAAAAAACTGCATGAGAATTTGAAACGAAAAAGTTACGGAATATTCTTTCTGCTGTCAAACTTTACAAGAAAAAATTAATTCCTGCTTTGAAGAGGTAATTCAGGTAATCGGTAAGAACGCATTTTGTGCTCTTCCACCGCTGTTAACAACCAATACGGATGGGCAGTGACATTTTTAAAAGGAGGTAAATGACAGGGACATATGACCTCTGTCTTTACTTCAGCCCTGAAAGCCTGGCCTTACCTGAGCGGTTGTTGGGAGACATGCGCACGGGAGAGATGGACGGCGTGCGGGACGAAGAGTAGGGTCTTTGCCGATCCCTTTCTATTGTTGAGGATGAGGCTACAAAGTGATACTGCGACCATCCGTCCTGCAAGACCAAACATGGCGACAGCAGTCAGTGAAAACACCACGAAGTTCCCCATTTTAAGGGTAGAGTATTATCCCCCAGTGTTTTTGCTACGTATACATGAGTAGGCTACCGTCTCTTTCCTGTCACCGGGTGGCAAATATTCCCAGCAGTGAAGGGCACGCGGACTGTACTGACACACCGGGAGAAAAATTAAACTGCAGAAAGTTCTTTAAAAGAACACGTTTCAGAAAGACTCACGTTACGAACACAAAACAACTTTTTAGGCTGTTCAATAGTTAACTAATATAACTAATACTTAACTATTACCCAACAGTTTTATAGCTAATAAATAGTGTATTTTTCCCGTGCCTCTACTTTTACATTGCAAACAGCATTTGGGCTATGAAAACATTCTACATTGTAAGATTGTTTGTTTTCACAGTGAATGACAGTTTCTGCTTTAAATAATTTCTGCCTTATCAGGAAATTTTAGAGTAAGCAATATAATACAATAATACAAAATAATGTACTTCATATTTTTAAAAGGATATTAAAAATAGTTTGAAAGTATCATAAGAGAATAAATTGACTTCTGCTAGTGTCGTCATGAAATGACAGTATTTCAAATGCCTTAATTTATTGATAGATTTTAACTGTCTCTATCACTGCTTAATGTTAAACCTAAATCAGTAACACAGTTCTCCCAGTCTCACAGCCCTTTAAAAATGCTTACTTTTTGCTGGACTGAGTGGAAATCGAGTCAAGACCACGGCAAAGCACTAAACTAACTTTTTTGCAATGAAATGCTGAATAGAAAACAGCTGGAATTTTCCTCTTGCTTGCAGAAAAATAATTCTCCATTGGGGAAGTAAAGAATATTTCCACCTCGTACCCCAGGCTACTGCAGACATCCACCCCTGCATCTCACTCCCTCCCACCCTCTGCCTTTGCCTTAGGCATCGCTCTGACTTTGTTCCCTTCACACAACCCATGGGCACCAGGCTCTAGGAACTGCAAGAAAAAATGGCCTTCCACTAAACTTTAAAGAAAAATAATTCAGCAAGAGTGTGACACTTTATATTTTAAAACCAGCAGGAAAAAAGAAGATATTAATACTTGATGTAGAGGGAAATGTCATGAGGAAATTAGGACAGACAGTTGTGACACCTAACTACAAATCCTGAATACATAATTACATTATATAATACTTTTGTATAAACATGCATGTGTCTCAGTCTTAATTTCAAAGGAAAAATAAAAAAAAAGGAAGAGTGAAGTTTGGGCCTAAGCTTTCATAGTAGATTCATGACTTTCCCTGGACTTGATAGTGTTTGTCCACAGAGTTCACTTAGATTTAGGATACTTCACTGAGCTGCACCTCATATTTCATGACAGTCATACAAGAAAATATAAGGAAGAAAGCCAGTTAATTAATAAAAAATTCTAGTAATTTGAAATAATAAATAGTAAATATTTAATACCACTTGTTTAAAGCAAAATTTTCTATATCCAATCTATCATTTCCAACAAGTAGCTTCTACACAAGCCACATCCTAGAAGTAGGATCAACGAGGATGCAAACAAAATCATCTGTAAAGCCCTAGCTTCTTAATGGCAAATCAAATTGGAAATTAGTAGAAGCTTTTCAATAAATTTACATATATAATATGTATATATGCTACATATACATTTTAAAAAACAACTAACATTTTATATTCATAATTAACAGCTTAAGTTAAATAATCTTATCCAAGCATCAAGACTGTAAATAACATACTTAGCATTATTTTTACATCTCCTGTTAATAAATTGCATGGTGATTTCCCTACTACAAAAATGAAGTAGCAACCATCTGAGAGGCCCGTGCCATTACCCTGCTGAAGAAAAATGGTTCCTTTCTTCCTCAATCTCTGAGGTCAGAAGTTCTTACCAGAAAGATGACTCTCTATAATTCACTCTTACAGTTTTCTCATCATTCATTTTTCTTTTAAACAGACCTCTGAAGAGAAGATAAGTAGAGTGCAAACTCTAGATCTGATAAAAGCAGAAGGAATAGACTATTTATTACTGTCTGCCTGCAAAAGCAGGAGAGAGCAGCCATGCTTACATAGCGTGAGTCAGAAATGCTTCCAACTTTGTGGATCTGGACACATGCACAGCCAGGTGCACTTTCCTTTTGCACTGTTGCTTCCCTCAGATAAAGTCCTGGCACGAGTCAGAAAAAAGTGCCCTGAACCTTTCCGTAAACTCTTCTTCCTTGTGTCTATTCCATCTGTGTTGTTTACATAAACACCTGGACCCTGGCTCTGATCGGAAGTCAGGCAAGCAATAAAAACTAACACAGGTATTGTGGTGACCTGGCTTTACCTTTGACTAAACAAGGCACATTGCTGCCACTGTACAACAACCTTCATGGTGCTTTTCAACAGCATTATGGGTAGCTACCAGACCTCCTAGTATTTCAAAACCTTAATACTTTTAAGTCATCTATCTTAAGCTCTCTTCTGCTGCAAGAAACAAGCTTCCTTCCTTGGAAAGGTAAACAGTTTGTAACAAATTCATTAAAACTATCCCATAAACAATTCCAAAAGCTATTAGCGTTAAATATTGAAACTAATTTTTAAGAGCCTAAAGGGGGTATTTTCAATTTAATGCTGAGATAAACACCACCTGACGTGATGGCCACTTTCATTACTTTGTTTCAGCTCTAGTGCCTGTAATGAAATTTAATTAAATTGATTTGGGTACTTAAAGGTACAGTATATAGCAGTGTCCTGCAGAGAAGAAAGCTAACTCAAAGGCAAAGTGTGTGCGACTGCATTTTAGAAACCAATTTACCAGCCACAAATTGTGATCTAGGAGAGAAAGAGTAAGACAAAAAGATCTGACAAGTTGGAAAGAAACTCAATGCAATTCTGTTACAGAACGGATGCATTTGTTAGCTGGCAGCAATTAATTAATAGGTGCCAACTGCATGGTACAGGAGGACACCAAACAACCATAGTACAAAAATGCCATTATATGCCCTTATAGTCTCTTCCAAAGAATCTTCTACTAGGCATTTCTCTATATGTTGACTATAATGAATATATGTATTCTCCCTCAATTGTACTCCATAAAGTTCAAACATTAACATTTGTTTGGCAGTGAAATGTTTCTAACAATATGTTCTTGTGAAAGCTGCAGCAATTAGATTTGGGGCAGGGGCTGGATAACCACTGTAGAAAATAAAACTGGTATTTCAGTCCCACTGATCACTTTGTATTGGACTTAAGGAGTGAGCAGGTTCCTTTGTCCCCTTGCTCAACTTAAAAGTAATTTTGAAAAAAAATAATTTTCTTCAGAAAATTGGGAAAAAATTATTTTGTCAGGGTGACTGAACTTACTGTGTCAAACACCTACTGCATAGGTATCTTACAAAAATATAATTTAGGTTTTCCACATTATTCATGTTTAAGATGTAGGGGAAAAGAGAATGCAGTTTTCTATTGTGTGAACAAGAAATTGAAATTTTCAGAACTTTTTGGTAGTAGAGGCCTCAACTCCCCTTGAGACGATCCACCTCTGGAGGTGGGTGATATCAGACACACCATTTTCTCACTGGTAGTGCAGTAACACCGTGAGAACTGAATGGGATTAGGTGCTGACAGAATCTGAAACCATGCAAAACCAACAGGAAACCAGAGCTCCTGGCCGGATAATTCACAAACAAGAGAAGAAAGAGGGGACAGATACCATGAGGCGGCCAAGCAACGTGTGGTGTAGTTGGGAAGGAGCCCCAACATCACCAGTCTCAGTGTGGCACCCAGCCTGGATGACCTCATGGCATCCGGTCAGAGAGAAATCCCACATTAGCTCATGTGCTAATAGCCATGCAGCAGAAATAAGAGCAAGCCCTACTCTCTGACTGAGTATGCTGATCAGATGCTAAGAAGACACCAACATACACTGAGTGTTTTAGAAAACCTGTACCATAGCTGCAGGCATGTGATTGTCTTTCAGTGCTGAAGGGCATAGTTTGCCCTGACTCCTGGCCAATGAGGTCCTAACACTGTCAGAAAGGGAGAAATCCCACTAGGGAAAAGGAACAAAAATGATGCAAAAAATTCAATAATGGAAGAGCTAAAACCTGAGAAACTAGAGAGAATGTTGTGTCCTGCCTTCCCCAAGCTTACAAACTCTCCAGCATGCCACTTGTTGTTTCAGGCCTTCTCCTGTCAGACCTGATCAACTAAAATCCTGATTTTGTTTAATAGACATTTTTCCAAATTACTTGAAGCACACAGGATCACACTTGTTTTGTCATCTCACTTATCTGTAAACCAGCATTGTACTAGTTCTAGGAAATAACTGCAATAACAACTGCTCCTGTAATGGCAATAAACTGTATAAATGTGACGTCTTGATAAGGCAACCACTTGCAGAAATCAGTAACTAGACCCAGTAACTGGTGTTAGAAGTAGCAACCAGGCAAAATGCCTGTAAGTACTTAGCATAGGATCTGCTCACTTTGCAGCTCAGCCAGACATTGCCCTGAGTTGCTGGTGTTGCATCTTTCACAAGCTGAAGCACTGCTGTCAGCTTAAATGAAACATCCTGACTGGTGTGCACCAGTGTGACACTGTCTAGAGTAAAAGATAAATCTGATGTGAATTAAGTCAAGGCTCATCAGACTTACACAGGTCTGGGCAATTCTTCACTGGGAATTTGTTGTCATGACACTAATAAGACATAACACAAATTAGAAGTGTATCAAATTATCTACATATATTGACATACGAAAGTTACGCGTGTAATTTGACTGGGGTGGGAAACCTAAAATGGTAACGAGGTTGGGGTGATCTACACATCTCATGGAGCTCTTAAATGGGAGTTTTAAACTAATGCAATTTAAATGCTCACCAACTACCATGCTTATCACTATGCTTTACAACTTGGGATCATATTATTTTCTTTTTATACAAGGGAAAAAATAAATACATTTCCCAGAGCTTCCCCATGGAGACACCATGCCTCAC